CAGCATCAGGGAGATGCTCATTGTCACTGACAATGGTTTTCCCTTTATCATTAATTTTAACTGCAGAGAGAATGTTATCTCTGTCAGCTTCAGTGAGATAATTATCCCACCAACCTTTGAGTTGGCCAGTAAAACCGGCAACAAGAATATAGACAATGGTGTCTTCAGGCATATTTTGGTTAGTAAAATAGCCCATAGCGACAACCGACATATTTTGAAGTTTGGCAATGATATTATATTCAGATAATCCATCGATATTCCAAATATAAATATCATTAGAATTAAAACTTTGAATAAAATCTTGTTTTTCTTCTAAAATAAGATCAGGAGCAGTAGCTCTATTATAATAAAGCTTGGAAGAATTTTTCCAATTATTGATAGGATTAATGGCTAAAACAGAGTCTGTTTCAGAACAATGTTCTGAATCAGCTTTAGAGATGGCATTGATAGTTTTGGCAAGAGACCTAGTCCTGGGTTTAGCACTGGATTCTTCAGAAGGTTGAGGAGTGTCGGGAATGGTAGTGAGGAGACTAGTAATTTTACTAAGCAACTCGTTTTGGTTTTCCTCATTTATTTTGGTTTTCTCTTTTTGCCTAAGTTCTAAGATTTTCTGCTTAGCTTTGGCGCTAATCTTAAAAGGTTTAAAAAGAGGTTTTTCTAGTTGTGGTTGGGAGGATGAAGAAGCAGCTTCTTCAATTTTCGTTTTGACAGGATTAACAAAGATTTTCTCTCCTAAAACCTGAAGGTATTTATTGGTATAATTGGCCTGTTCCATAAGGCCTTGGATGTCATGAGGAGTGATAGACTCATCAGCACTTTTAGACTTGAAAGGAGTGGCAGTAACAGGGTTACCGCCTTTGTCTTTCAAATTAGGCAATTGGTATTGAGATGTGGGCGGTAAATCACTTTGGACTATTTGTCCATCTTTGATTTGCCAGGTTATAACATTAGCAGAGGAGGTACTAATAACATCTTCTTGCCAGGGATAATTAATATTATTTCGAATGGTATAAGCATGATACCAATCAAAGAATGGAATATTTTGTTTGACTTTTTCGAGAAATTGATAGAATTTCTCTTGGATAGCAGACCTGTCTTTTCCCCTATAATTTTGAAAGAACCACTCTCTTTGAGGTTTCCAATCCTCAGAGTAAAAGTCTTTCCTAAGGGTTTCCTTATCTATAATGAATTTATGAGATAACATCATAAGACTCATTAAGGGAAGAGTAAGTTGGAGATTGGATACTCTGATTTTCGTCTTCTTTTTCAGAAGTCTGATAAACATTTCTAGGAATCCTAGAAGAAGTGTCTAAACCTTGAAGATTTAGAGAGGGGTCATGATTAACAGACCTAGGAATATCAGGTCTAACATAAGATCTAGAAGAAAAAGATCTCCTAGCAGAGACAAAATTAGATCGATTACTATAAGCATCGATCCTAGAGGAGAAAGAGTTTCTCCTATCAAAGGTTATTTCAACCTTTCCAGAATTGTCCTGTGAGATGTCCTGTATTTGAGGAGCAGGACGAGGAACACTAGGTGAGGCTTTATCCATCACCCATTTTTCTGGGAGAGTAACCTCATCCCATTTAATAATTCTAGGTAGAGAAACATTAGCCTTTGTCATATCAGTGATAAACAAAGTAGTTTCTCCCTTTTGAGGCTTGAGAAGGACTCTAGAGGCACAAGAATTCATGACCTTATACTGAATCCTATAGATTAATGCGGCGGGAATAGATCCCTCTTTCATGTCTAACCCATGAAAGCAAATATTAAGAAATAAGGAGTCTAGGATGTTTTCATCCATAAGACTCACAGTTTTGTTGGGAAAACAGTTAAAATAAATCGGACCTTGACCGAGACTGGTTTCAACTGTTCCTATGAGAGAATCATCAAATTTATTATGACGAATGTCTCTGAGACAAATTAAGACAGCAGCATCTATGCCTATGTCTATCAAAGGTTTAATTGCTACCTGAACACATCCTATGTGAAGGTACTTGTACTTTCTTTTATGGTCATTGAGGGAGGATTTAGACAGGAGATGAAATTCTTCCCCTATACCTTTCCCTAAAGGGATATTATTTTCAACAGTCTTGATAATATAATCAGAACTGTTTTTCTTAGGTTGGCCTTCAGGAACATATAAAGTATCCTGAGGAATGACTGGGATGGTCCAGTCATCCATACTTTGGTTGATCTCTTCAAAACGAACTTCTTCGTCGAAGAGGTTGTGTTTGGGTGTAATTTCAGGAGAATGATTCTCCTGGTCATTAAAGAGATTGGTTTTAGTTGGAGAGGAGGAGGAGGAACTGGAGCCAGAACGAAAGGAAATGCGAGAGAAAGAGCGTAAGAGTCTAGACATAATATAAAAACATCTGGCTCATCACCCTCATTTGGTTCCGTAACAATACATCTGTTAATTATTTATAACTTATTCAACTGGATCTGGTTATTTGTGGACCTTTTTTTTTTTTTTTTTTTTTTTTTTACAAAATTCTGAAAATTCTTTTACTATAGCCACCAGCTTCTTATGTTCTTTTGTTTCTTTTGAATACAGCATCGTCAAATTAGCCTTACTGCCCTTTCAACTATACGGGACTTACTGCTACAGCCCTATTCAAAAGAACGAAGAACTGCTGTACTTCCAGTAAAGGATTTTCTAAAAACAAAGAACTGTACAAAAGAAATATTTCGGTACCATTAGTTCGTGGCGTTGTTACAGACAGGGACGATCATTACTGATCTCACCCGAAGGGCCTGTCAGCTGTAAATCACTTTGGACTATTTGTCCATCTTTGATTTGCCAGGTTATAACATTAGCAGAGGAGGTACTAATAACATCTTCTTGCCAGGGATAATTAATATTATTTCGAATGGTATAAGCATGATACCAATCAAAGAATGGAATATTTTGTTTGACTTTTTCGAGAAATTGATAGAATTTCTCTTGGATAGCAGACCTGTCTTTTCCCCTATAATTTTGAAAGAACCACTCTCTTTGAGGTTTCCAATCCTCAGAGTAAAAGTCTTTCCTAAGGGTTTCCTTATCTATAATGAATTTATGAGATAACATCATAAGACTCATTAAGGGAAGAGTAAGTTGGAGATATATATATATATATATATATATATATATATATATATATATTCAATACACATTCTATTCTAAGTCATCAAGAATAAGAAAACACATTTTATCAACGAGTTCATTCAAACATCTATTCACAACCAAGAAAGACACGTCCACATGAGCACAACGTAACATGTTATTAGTAATGGAATAAAGCTCTCCTTACCTCAAATAGATAGTTTAGGGATGGAGTCAATGGAAAAGGTGGTCCAATAGGCTAAGATATTCCAACGATTACAGAGAAGAGTGCTCCTTTAGAAGAGAGAAAACAGAGAAAAATAGAGGTGAGAACGAAGAGTCAAGCTCTGAGATACTAACCAACGATTCCTAGAATTGAGATTCAAGCTCGGATTCAGAGTAATTACAGAGTCCAAAAGTTTTTCTCTTGAGGAAGAAAAGAGAGTTCAGAGAAAAAAAGTTAGGAGAGATTTCTTGAATTGTAATGCAAGTTTCTAGACTGGAATGCCTTAAATATCCCTAAATTCTCGTGCATTTTCGCTTGAGTGAGTGGGCTCTCGCTTGAGGGAGACTATTCTCATCTGAGCAAGTCCTTTCTCACCTGGATTAGAATACCAAAGAATGGTTCTCCAAGCTTATTTTGCTATTCTCGCTTGAGTAAGAGTCATTCTCACCCAAGCGAGAAGATGTCCAGAAAATTAGTTATTTTTCTTGTGAGTCCTTGCTTAAGCAACTCATCTCGCCTACTCGAGATCTCTGCTCGCTTGAGTGAGATCATCTCTCACCTGGGCGAGACTTGAACGAGACTCATCTCGCTTGAGCAAGAATGCCTTTGAATCTTTTGGTTCTTGGAGCTCAGTCTCGCTTGAGTGAGACTCCCTACACTAGACTTCTACCAAAACACCCATAAATCATTCTCAAGCATATTTCAACACTATCTAATATCAAACAATTCACCAATTAATAAATAAATAAATAAGAGGATGTTACAGTTAGAAATTCGCATGTATATTACATACTAGAAAGGTGTCCAAAAAGCCAATTTGTATTCAAATATTAGCAATGAACATTAAACTCAGTATATAACAATCTCTATAAAAAAAAACATATACATTAAACTAAGATCTTGTGAAAGAAACATTAACAACTGCAGGACTTGCTTTATCAAACATGAAAATACATATATCTCCTTTCTTCAATCTATTTATCTTGCAAAACAAACTCCAACTACTTCCAAATTTTGCATTGCATTTTCTATGTAAGGGAATCTTGTAATTGACTGTCATGTTATTTGGACTACACAACTGGCAAGCTTATATTCTAGCATTTGAGATTTTTGCAGCCACTTTGTTTGGTAAGTTCTACAAAATAAATATAATTAGTTCAGTATTATATTAAATCAAATAGAAAATTTCATATATAAAGGGTATAATAGACCAATTGGCTGCCAATAGCTTTGTAATCAGTCAATAAAATAGAAAAGCGTTCACCTTCTACTATTAGATGTTCTACATTTCCTTCATCATTATACTCTAACATATTTAGGTTCTTATAAAAATTTTCTTTGAGAGATGATTAAAAATGGTAATGTGGTAATTCAAATCACCCACATATTTAAAAACATACCCATGAGGATTATCTAAACAATAAAACTTTTGAAAATTCTTCCACCCATTCGATAAGCAAAAATTTTTACCAATCAATTGTGTCCTTACTTCCATAACATTACCAATTGGATCTCCTTACTTCCATAAGTCATGTTCTTGCATACTAATTTTTTTTATTACTCTAGAATCGATTTTGGCAAATCCTACATATGACACAACTGATTATTAAAAGATTAGCTCATTACAAAGAAAAACATTCTTACAATTTAACATTACCTTATCATGCTTGTTAAATATACAAAACCTTGTAATTTCACCCTCCAATTTCACAGCATTCGAAAGATCCTTTGCTAAAAGAGAAGGCAAGAGGATATTAAAGGTAGCATCCATATCAACTTCCTTAGACAAACCAAAAATACAGACAATAAAGATCAAATGCATATATTTTTACAAAGCCAAGAATGATGTACAACTGAAAAAATTATGGTAGACTAAGAATGAAGTAAGAGATAAAGGAATATAATATCCAACCTAACTTTCTTTTAAAACTATAAATTCTTTAGTTTTCAACATTTTGATATCCCAGTTATGTTCAATACATTGTTTCATTTATACACAATATTGATAAATGCTAAAGTCAAATTCATAAGAAAGAAGTGGAAAGTTTAATCATATTACAGCTAGGCATAAATGAGATGATCAGAAAAAATAATTAATGGGTTGTTTCTCTACATGTTATATCTCTTGAAGATATTAGTGGGCTGTTAAAACTAAATGTGAGAGATTTGTTAACTTCCTCTTATAAATATATTTTACACTAACCTTTGATATTCTGGAATCATTTTCTTTAAAATCCTGTATATTAATCAATTTAGATATCTGCATATAAAACTTATGCTATAGGAAAAAAAATATGAGAATCATGCATAATGTTACCTTATGATTTCATTTGAAAGATTCTTTGCAAAAGCAGAAGGCAAAAAAACATTGAAAGGAAAGTTCATAATAAAATCCTTTGATAGAACCTAACATGTAAAAACAATGTGAAGAAGGATAAACCAAATATGAAAACATAATAAAATAAAGGATAACCAAACATGAAGATAGAAGAAATAAAATTCACTGCTTATCGCTTCTTCTGTTCACTTACAAAAGTTTGTAATGGTACGTAGAAAGATCTACAATACCACAGAGCACATAAAATTAATTTCAAATTTTTAATAGACTATTTGATGGTAGATTTCTTTTGTGTTCATTGAGTTTTCTTTTGTCATTAAATTATTGGAATGTGTTCCAATACACCATGCTAAGATAACATACTAACATAGAAAATGACAAATAATAAATGATCTTGTCAGAACGTAATTATTACTTTTTTATAATTTAAAATTTAAAATCTGAAGTGAAATAAAGTTTCTGAAAATAAAAAGAGATAAGAAAGAGTGTTAGAGAAGCTTTTCATAAAGTGCTAACACCTCATCAAACTCTTCACAAGATTGTATTCAATTGTGTTTGTGTGTATGTAAATATATATATATATATATATATATATATATATATATATATAACTGTAAAAAGCTTAAAATGAAAAGAAAAAATTATTTAAAAAATAATAATAGAAAAAAAAACAATGACAAATAGAAAAAGAAAGATAAAAAAAGAAAAAAATTGTGTTATACAACAGTGAATTATGATTTTTGCGTAAAGTTTAAATTGTTATGTATTTTCATATTTGAACTCACATTCCAATATTTTTTTAGATTATTTTGGTTCTTAGTTACTACTCTATGTTATATCCACCTTTACTTTAACCAAGTTATAACCAAATTAAGTCCTCTTAAATTGTCCATATTTGTGAATAAATAGTGGAGATAAAGAATAGGAGAAGTCTATGATAGTATAGTCTTAGTTTGATGACATTGAGAGAAATATTTTCTCTAAAACACAAAGAGAATTAAGTGAAACACTTAATCCAAGAAGTTGTCACAAATTTAAGTCATGCTTTCTAACATAAAGTTGTTACATCCGTAACTTTGATATTGTTATGAGTGGAATTCTTGATTATTATGGTATGACCTTACATATCTTTTAATTGAACTCAGTGATAATTTAAATTATCTTTCGAGGAGAAATATAATGATCTTGAATGATGGGAATTGAAGTAAATTAATAATGAACCACTTGCATGAAAGACTTAAGTTATAATAAAAAGAATTATTTTTTCTTTTGTTAATAATTGTTTTACTTGAAACAAGTAAAAAAAAAAGTAAATTTGGAGTGTGACAAGTGTGAAACATGACACTTTATTTAATATAAATGATGAGAAGAATTAATAATTTTATATCTTTATAAAAAAATTATTATATAAAATTAGTAATTTTTAATTGTTTATTATAGTTTACATTAAGTTTGATTTATAAAATAATTTGTATTAAATGTTCTTAATTTTATTGTTTTAAACATACTTTATTTTAACCATGAATTTAGGAAAGTTTGAAGTGGAGATTCTAAGAAAAAAATATTTCTAGTGTTATTAACACTAAAAACTGCAGCACCATTGTTAGAACATCATAATGGTGCAACATATAGAGAGTGATAATGCTTAAATTAATGTTATTACCACAAAAACATTTTAATGGTGTAATATATAGAGTGATAATGCTTAAACTAGTGTTATTAACACCAAAATATCTGTGAAAGCTATAAATGACATGAAAATCTTAAATCTAGAAAGTTTTTGACAAGTGGCAGTTTCGTGTTAAAAAATTCTCTTTCTCTTTGCAAAAAAGTTCTTTCATAAACATGAATTACTCATTTGAAATGTATCATCCAAACATAGTCTAAAATCATTGTAATGAAAAAAAGTATAATTCACACATCATTTAAAATAATGGACTTTCATATAATGGTTGATAAATATTTTTTTAATAAATACTACTTTTAAATATTCAAAATCTACGTTTGATATTTAACCAAAAAAAATTAAAAACCTTTTAAGACTGGAAAGAATTCACATTTATCTTCCATAGATATGATTATACCCCCCCCCCACCCCCACCCCACCCCCCCCCCCAAAAAAAAATTATACTTGTACAAAATCAGGCTTGTATTTTGGTCAAATTAAATCAGACATGTTTATTGATAATTTACACAAACAAGCAAGCAGAAAACACAAAAGTTGTTGGGCCTTTTTGTGTACACGGCGGTTGTAGACGAGGAACATCATCAATAAGGATCAATATAATATTACTGTTAACCTGTCAGACTGTTTATGCTCCATTTTCACGTGCAGCTGAACAACCAAGGTAGTGCCGTTTGTTCAAAATTTTAAAATCAATTCTTATACTTTTCAATGAAAATACACATTCTAATAAAAATTTATAATTAAAATTAATTTCAACACGTATCTCAATTATCTTCAACAGATCAAAATTGATTTTTTGTTTAATTCTGCTATGTTTTAAAATAAATGGGCCCGTAAAAAGGCTGTTGGTTGGTCTTTTGTGACCCAAGCAGTTATACTTTATCTACACTAAGATCGGATATCGTTGCTCTGACAGGTTAACAGCCTACGGAGCTTGCTTATCGTATATCCCCTGCGACTTCAGACCGATCCATAGCAGTGCATGAAACAAGAGTCAATCTATAGCAACGCAAAATTAGTAATGAAACCCATTTGCAGAAGCAGAATCTCCAGGCAACAATTAATTACACACAACTCTAACATTGAACATTAAAGAATATTTGTAATGGTAAAATCAAGGAGTAAAAATGGTTTCCATGTTAACTTCCTCTAGGAGATTTAAAGTGAAAATTTCGCACTGCTTTTTCCATTAGGACCCCAAATGTCTTTTGGAATTGATCTCATCATGCGTTAGTGACAGTAAATGTATGATCTTTAGAAAGATGAACTGGAACCGATGACTTAAGTTTCTAAAACATCTTGGGATTAGAAAAAGATAAGGCTCAATCAATAGCCTTTCCATTATAGTAATAAAAGAATAATCAGCATTGAGTGGTGAACAACCAAAAACCCACCCAATTAAAATGCTAAAATTGCGAATTAAATAGAATTCAAGTAACTTTGATGGTGATGTACAGAACAACATTATGCCTTTCCAAGTACCGGCACTTCTGGTCCGTATATTAAATGACAACGCTCGTGAAATGAACTAACCATCCTAGAGGCTACCTCCTTAAAGAACATCGATGCAATCTGAGCAAGAAAGTCAGAGTCAAAAATATATTTGTTAAGCGTTCACAGAAATACAAATTATAACTACAATCTAGATGACATTTAAAATATCCAGGCATAATAGCTCTCAGCCAATCCACGATATAAATTTGTAGCAGAAAGCCTCTGATGGTACTAATTTCTAATAGCACCAAAGATCCATAAAACTATCAAAGCAATTAAATTCGTAATAGGAAACCATATATTATGACAGCAACTAAAATTATATATGCAAGCACTCTAGTAATTTATCATAAGAAAAAAACTCAACACTATTTCTGAAATAAAAATATCAAAGCTGGAATATGCAGGTCAAACTCTACTTAACCATGACTCATCCCACAAATAATTCATGCTAACCATTCAGTTAATAGTTTACAACTCAAAACAAGAAATATAGTAGTTGCTATATCCATCAAGGGGAATAAAGGGCATAAAAGAAACAAAAGGCCCACAACTAGGAAGGCTGAACATAAGGTAATGACTACGTTTATAATTAACTTATCCATTCATAAGAAGTACCAAGATGGAAAAGTAACTACACAATTAAAAAAAAACATAGCTTAAGAATAAAAGAATTGTATCCCGACCATTTGCCCAAATGGGTTGCGTTAGGCTAGGAATATAACCAAAGCACTCCTTATAAGACTAGGATAATCTTCCTCTCTTGAGCTAGCTTTTAAAATTTCGGCAAGTCCATTTTCAATATAGTATAGAACCAATTCAATCTTAATGTGAAACTACCTACATATGTTAAGTCCCGCAAACTTCATGTTTTAAATGTCCAATGTTGGACATGAGTCAAATGTGTTAAGATATCCCATAAGGTTAGGGATATAAAACAAGTACGTCTTAAGAAACTAGGACAATCCTCTCCCCTTGAGCTAGTTTTTAAGTTAGGACAAGTCCATTTCAAATATGTCGACTAGAACATAACTGCATAATAATTATCATGAAGTAATAATGTACAAGTAGGAAGAGAAAATAAGCCAGATGACTGGACAGTAGTTAATTTCTTTATGCAGTGATCAGTTTACCTATCTGGACCATGTGCAACCATTTAGCAAGTCTAGACCAAGAAGTTATACAGTAGCATTGAATTTAAATTATGGAACCATTACTCTTGAGATGTCAAGAACAATTTAGAAGTAGCATATGCAGCCTAAGCAAAACCTAAAAGTTTTCTTCCAAATCAACTTCATTGCACTAATTTTATAATCCTAACTTTACCGCATATTTCAGAAACAAACATTAAATACATTAACTGAACCAAGATGCATTGAGTTTTGTCTTTCTATACTAACACACATCCGTGTGTTTGACAGAAAAACAACAGGTAAAATTATTCGTAATGAATTATTTGTTTAAAAAGGAAAAAACAGAACACTGGGAAACCCTGTGTGTATAGCTGAGGATTTTTCGAGAAGGTAATAATAATCACTGTGGCATATGACCCTCCCATTGTCAGCTTTAACCAATTATTAAACCCCTTTGGAAGCTCAAGGCTGCCTATAAGGTCAAGTCTTTTGGTTGGACTATAGAGATTAATAGATTTAATATTAATGACACGATGCAGTTGCAGACTACATAAAACTCTTTTAGATGACGTGTTAAGTTTGCTGCTGCATCCATAATCAAATCCTTAACTATTCTTACTATCACATTGTTTGGCCTTTTGGCTGAATGGTGGAAGCACCCTAGGACCTTGGACCAATCTTTGGTGGCTAAAATCCACAAAACACCCTCCAACCACAGGACATTCTTTTTCATCTTGGTTTATTACTTAAAATATAATATAATATTAAAAGCATACATTTAATAGTTACTAATTCAACAGAAATTCAACTAAAGTCAAACTAATGAATTGTGAACTAGAGCCTTTATTAGTTCAATGATGAGGGTAGGGACAAGGTTTTTTGTAGTGGGACAGTGGTGTTGGTCAAATGACAACAGGAGGTTTTATCAGAATTGAATATGGGTTTTGGTTGTGGCTTTCTTTGTGAGTTGATGAATGAATTGTAGTTAGTTGAGGAAAATCCCCCACTATTGATTGGGAAAACGTTGAACTTGAGTTATATTTTGGTTGAACTCTAAAGGTGAAGGTGATTCTTTTATCTCGTGTGTATACAAAGATGGTGATTCATTTGTTATTTTTCTAGGTTTAGGGATGAGGTTTCTAGGTTTGGGCTTGGGGGGTCATTAATCCCCTTTTTTTCATTAATTCGGGTTTTCATTTTTTTTTCCTATTAGTAACATGTATGGAAGTGCAGGTAAGTCAAGTTGGTGGCTTTAAACCACATGATTAAAAAAAAAAAAAAAACAATGACCTATAGTTGCAGGGAATAGAAGTAAATACGCTAAATGCATTTTTGATTAAGTTGATTTTAGAAAAACGATCACTCGTTTTTGCCAAGTTTAAATGGCTCCCTTAGGCTTTGTTCTGCTACATTTGACACTCAGATCTAGTGTGATATTCCTAACTTAATTAGGTTTGACTTGTTCAGTTGACTTGGCTGTTTCTTGGCAAATCTATAGTTAATGGCATTTGGATCTTCCTGGATGTTTGTTCGTTCTTCCTGCAGTTACTTTTCCATTGATTGATGACTTTTCTTTCTACTAATAATAATTCAGGTAGTGATTTTCTGTGATCTCATCAACACCAGCCCCAGATATAATTCTTATATATTTGTTCAATGTTTCTGGACAAGTTTTTTCTGTTGTTTTTGCAGCTTCCAAGTTTTTGCAGCAAGATACCAGAAATGGTATTCCACCGTATTTTGCCAGCAACATTGAACGAACATTTCTTACCATACACGTGTATCCAGACCGGTCATTGAACCGATGAAGGTAATGGTTTATTGTTTATTGGTTCAACTATGGTCAATCTGGTGATAATTAAATGTAGATATTCTGATTTATGTAATATATTTAATAAAAATCGATATAATAAAGTAATATTTTAAATTCATATTAATTAATATTATTACATATTAATAACAAAAATCATATCTTATTTTCATAAATATATTTATTACATGAAATTATTTTAATATGCTTTTTGATATATTAAATATTTTGTTAAGTTAATATTTTATTATAATCAAACGAAATAATATAATATATATTAAAATGTGTTCATTTATACGACAGAACTGGTTTAGACCAAAACCGCCCTGTTCTTACCGTTTTCACCGGTTCAAGCCCAGTTTAGCAGTTCAAAGGTCAGTTTTTGAGCTACTGGTTACAGAAGATCAACCGAACCAGTCATACTGGCTTCCCGTTGGGCCGGTCCTACTAGCCGGTCCGGTCTGGTCCGGTTTCCAAACTCCGGAATCCACTGATTAGGCCAAGACCAAGGGTGAATGAAGTAGGTGGGCCATAAGGGGTTATCATAAGCTGTTACATGCAGAGGGGTACAATGCAAGCCCGTAAAAAGTGAGAAAGAAAAAGCAAGTTATCAAATAAGCATAAAGATTAAAAGGAAGCTCAGAATAACAGATTCAGATCAACTGCTTGATACCTGTCTATAAAGTGGGGACTGAAACTTGAAATCCACCAAGAAATATAGATTGCAAGTTCCTGGAACTGGGCCTGGACTGAATTCCCAAATGTTTATTAAATGATCAAACAGGGTACTCTTGGACACAGTTGTCTGAAAACACAAAATACATAGAGTATGTGTAAAAGTACAACAAAACAAGCAGCAGTATATATGAAGAGCAAAACTAATAATAGAACAACCTTGCATGTATATAAGCCATCAATATTTCCAAAAGCACAAAGAGGAGTGCTAGGAACATAGTTTTTCTAACACTCTAAATTTCTTATTAAAATTTATTGAAAACTACAAAAAATCAATGAAACCCCTTAAATAATGAGTAAGATCCACGTAATTTTTATCACTGCATTGGCCATAATAAGCATTGTGAATGCAGCTTAAAAACAGTTTTTCTAACATCTGCAACATACATAATAAGAATCCATATAAAGTAAGTTCTTATTAAAAATTACAGAATTCAATGCATTTCAATACATTAATGCTATAAAATGCTACAAAATCCAACAAAAACTTATTATTTATTGATTGCAAACGTTAGAAAATATTACTGAAGAAAAGTAACTATCTTCTAAAGTAAAGGAAGTTATTAACCTTTATAAGCTTTGGTTTGTTCAACTCAACACGAGAAACATAACTTTCGACAAGAAATTTAAATCCAATCTCCAATTCAGCATCAAATGATCCATCCTGATAGTGTTTAATTATCTCAGACCTTAGACACCAGGGAACAAAACCATGATACAAGTCCACAGCTGCAACAACGTCAAACAATTGCTCCTGAGAGTACCTGAAAACCGAATCCGCTTACAAACACAACAGCAATGATGCCTACAATGCTCGATCAAATGCTTTTATTAAAATTTTAAAACAGAATCGCGTTACCCCAAAACGCGCTTCTCCTCGTAAATTTTGGATAGAACACCTTGATCGCCATTTCCACGTCCGAGAAATTGCCTCGTTTGAACGGCATTGTTGAAGGAGGCGGTGGGAATGCGAGTAAGACACTCATTGGAAGAAATAATGAATTGGGTGAGATTGCGTTTGCGAGATGCAAGGGATCGAAGCGCGTTGGAGGATGAGAGAAATGGGGGCATTGTGATAAACCTAATTAGGGATTGTGCGAAGAGGCTTTCTTCTTCCCAATGCCAGAACCATGGAAGCGCCAAACGTATTGGAATGTTTCATTCTCAAATGCCGAGAAATATTCTTATGGAATAACAAAAGTAGAAAATATTTATTAATATTTTATTTTTAATATAATAATTTTTTAAAAATAAAATTTATTATATTTCGATGTTTAAATTTATTTTTAAATATTGAAATTAATAAAATTAATAAAACAAAATATACACTCAAATTGATTTTGGATAATTTTGTGAAACCTAATTTAGCTGTTGAAAAAAGTAAAAAATGTTAAATAAATTTAAATTTCATTAAAATATTATAATTTAATTTATGGCTTTTAGTTCTGAATATAAGAAGTTTGTCGTAGTTCTTTTTATAAAATTAGTTATAATTTTTTTGTAAAATTTTTTTGTATTAAATATTTCTAATAAAAACAAAATGATTAATTAAATAGAAATAAGATAATGAGTTTCAACAATCTTAAGATTAATTTTTTTAAAAAATAATTTATTAATAAGTTAAATATTAATAATGAAATTAATTACCTTTTTAATATGTGAATTAAATAAAAATATCTCATATTTAATATTAAATATAATAATAAAATACTTTACATGACTCGTAAAGTAACTGAGATTGTATTAATAATTTTTATTTTGTAAAAAACTTTTTAAACCTTTTTTAACCTAAATTAATTCCTGAAAGAAATTACTGAAGCCAAATTTGTCCCTAAAAAAATTAATAGAACCAATTTAGCTAAAATGTATTTAAATTCTTTTATAATGTAAAATTTATTAATATCATCTCAACTAGTTAATAAATTATGTAAATAATTAAACTAAGTTAAATAAAAAGTATTGTCAACATAAGGACCAATCTGTCTAAAAGAAATTAAAAACTGTTTAATAACTTACTTTTTTAGGACTAAACTTTATCCAATAAAATTTAAGCTCTGTCGATTAATTTTCTTAAAAATTTATAATTACTGATTAAACAATTAAAAATTAGGTTAAAATACATTAAAAATTACAAGAAAATGTGTTTTAAAACTTGCGTTAGCATATGCAAGTCGTAGTTTGCAAATCAATTCCCATAGCTTGCCACCCTAATGGGATTAGCCCAAATGAAAATATGATTTGACTAATTGTGTGATGATCAATTTACCAAATTTAAACATTAAACAGGTTTGAATTATTAATTTAACCAAATCTTATCAACATAAAAATAAAAATATTTTAAAAATTATTCATTTCCACTAATGATTTAGACTAACCCCAAAAAAAATTGTAAGAAAAGATATGTATACAAACTAATTCGCTGATTAATTGTTTCCTTAACCACAGACTTGAGCAAACCACTGAAATACCAATTCACTTAACGAGCTTATACGAGTTTAATTCATTTGACAGTAAATTTAAACAATTTGCATACTTTACTCTACTTGTGATGTTATAAAAAATATCTAAAATGTTAAAAATATATTATCGCACTCTTATACTGTATTTCAATAGAATAATTAAATTTCTTTTATTTTAAATATAAAAAAAATTACTCACTTAAAATATATCATTTAAACATATTCTTAATAATTCATCAATTTTCAAAAATTTAAAATACTTTTTAAAAGATAATTAATTTACAAGATAAAATAATCTTCATTAATGCATTGATGGTGTCAGTGTGTATGAAACGAAAAATAACTAAAATTATAGTTTCCATGATAGAATTCACATAAGCTTCTTCCACGTATGTACAAACATCATGAACAGAAGCTAAGAACACTGTCCCACATTTTTTAATGTCCAACACGAACCACTCTACAAAACCCCAAAACATACCTAACTAAGAACGTGGCATTCAGAAAAGTTACAACGTATCATATTTCTGACAACCCCTCATATTCTAAGTAGCAGAAACATAATTCTTCGCAACATTTCCACCTGAAGAAGATTTGCTGTTAGGGACAATCTGAAACACCAGTTTGAAATACCCATAACTCAGTTCCATAAGAATTTCTTAGATCCCTACCAACCAAAATTGTAATATAAAAATAATAAAAATATTACCTGGTCATTGAATTTTGCATCAGCTACCGAAGGTTTCTGTCGTTTCACTTTGCTTTTTTTATTTTCCTTTTTGCCTTTCACTTCTTCATCAACAAAGTTCTGATCTGACATCTCTGCAAGAACCCGACAATCAAATTTAAATACTTTGATGGATGGAACTGCATTATGTGACATTCGTAAATCATAGAATAATTTCAGAAGTTCAAAATATAAATTTAGAGACTAAATTAACATGCACTTAAAATTTTAAGGACTAATATAATGTTCTTTTATTTATAATTTTAAGGATTAAAAATTCTCTGTCATAATTTTAAAGACTAAATTAAAATATCTTCAAATTTCAGAAACTATAAGTTGAAAATCTTCACAATTCAACACCCTAATTATCAAAATTTTACCTTAAATTTGTGTTCAATTCATTTTTTTAACAATTACTAATTCATACTATTTTTTAAAAGAAATTGAAAAATAAATAGTTAGGTTTAAAAACTTATCTCTTATCAACCATGCACTAAGTGATGATTAAATTTTTGTACTAATAATTCTAATAAAAGGTGGAATTCTACTTACTATATTCTTGCTAAAGGGTCGCCATTTAACATTTGTTCGTCACATTAAGTACATACAACATGCTTAGTTTAATTTATGTTTAAAAAAATTACAACTTTTTGAAAGAAATTTTAAAAATAAAAGCTTATTTTTCAAAATATGATTATTCCCACACAAGCACTGAATACATGTTAGAAGAAGTCAGCAAAAATAAAACAAAGAAAGATATGTTATGAATGGAAGAAAGCTGAGATAGTAAATGAAAACTTAAGAGAAGATATTAAAAACAGAGGAATTAGCAGAAGAAATAGGGTCACCTGTATCGCTACAAAGCATATCATTATGGTAGACATGAGAATCACACAAATGAATATGCCCTGATCCAGAGGGAATTCCTTTCCTTTGGCCTAATTCAATAACTTCAGTTGTGTTAGTAACACTTTCTTGAAGTGATGGAGCTACTACGCTTTGATGCTTGCTTGAAGTACGGTAGTGCTGAATCCATGGATTTTCAGTCAAATCATGACACTGGTTAATCCTACTCATTTGAGGATTCATTCTCTCAAAATTGATCTTTTGCCAACGCCCACCACGAAGAACCTTGAACTGTTATTCAAAGATGGAAAAAAAACATGGTTTAATTAAGGATATGTAGAAAAAGGAAGATATACAAGTTAGGATCACCATACTCTGCACTTCGTGTATATAAATCTTACATTAGGTAAAGTCCCACATTTTGTTTTTGAAAATGAAAAAATAATAAAATGTGCTATTAGCAAATTTTTTTTTGGTCAATAAAAAGGGTATTAGAATTTTCTAAGGACAAAACCATAACCTTATTTCTTATTTCACTTCCCCCTTCCACCCCTTATAAAAAGGCTTAACCTACCTTGTTATCCTTGAAAATTTTGAATTTTTGTATTTGATTCCTTGTTTTTTTTTCAAAGGAGTTTCTTATAAAGTTTTTTCAAGTAATTTTTCTAAATATTGCAATTTTTTATTTAATCTTTCACTTTAGAAAAGTCAAATAAAAAATATATGTGGGCCAAATGAGAAACATGTAATATTTAAAATGGTCAATATATTTCAAGAGATCAAATGAAAGAAAAAATCAAAAGGACATCATTTGGTAAAGAAAAGTATATTATAAAGGAAAAATTTATAAAAAAATGAAAAATTAAATTTAAAAGAACAAAAAATTTGACTAAGCCTTATAAAATTTCCAAACAGGTATGAGTCACTCTTCTCTTATTTCCTATGCCACAACTACACAAGTATAGAGATTTTGATACATATGTAAGTATTATGCTTCCAAACTATGTTGGGTGATAATAAATAAAAATAATTATAATAACACAATATTTTGTATGAAAAAAAGTGAAATTAAAAAGGAAACCTGGCCGGAAGTGGTGGCAGGATCGTAGGAAGTTCCTTTAGGTGAAAAGGAAGCTCTCATTTGCTTAGAATCATATAATTGATTAACAAAAGATGCTTCTATAGACTTTATATACATGCTGTGTTTCTCGTCTGTCCATTCTGCTGTTGTTGTGGACTCCGTTTCCCTAATGCCCTGTCATACATTTTAAATCCCAAAATCATATTCATACCATATATTATTAATATGCCAATAAAAATAAATTAAACAAGAAAACAATTTAATTTAAATATACAACACTTCTAAATATTAACTAAGTAAAGCATATTTCTTCAAATAACGACGAATCAATTCATTAATTTCATCAAATAAATAACCGCTTCTAAGGCTCTCATAGGAGTATGGTTAGGTAAATAATTTAATTAAATATTTATTTACTAATTTTTTTGCCACATCAAAATTTATGATATAATATTAATTATAAAATTTTAAATAAACTAAAAAATTATTTAACAAAATTTAGTAACAAATATATTTAAAAAAACTTAATCCCAAAATATTTTTTATAAAGACATAAATTTTCTATAATTTTTTTCAAACGCCCTTAAACATCATATAAAATCAAACTCTTGCTTAGCCATATTTGAAATACAAAATTATTATTGCAAAAAGAAGTATAATTTGAGGAATTAAATTGGTACGCATCGTTAATATAGATATATGGGAATGAGAGCTGCACTTTAACACGGCTAATAGAGGTTGTAAAAGTAAACAATGCATCACACAACTCAATGCATATTACAAAATATTAAATTTTTGAACACATGTTAAAAAAAATTAAAACATTGCAAAACTTGATCACATATTCATAAATATAAAAACTTTTTAACTTTTTAGCAAACCCATGTAATAAAGTTATTAAGAACAAACTAGTAGTGAACGATTACGCAATCTCCACCAAAGTTAAAAAAAATTGGCTAAGCGCAAAGAAAAAAAAACTCCTCAAGGAAAAAAGGTACGACATAAATGGAATATTCTTTCTTGTAGATCAAACGAAAGCATGAATGAAATAGATTTAATTTAAAATAATAGTAACAATAATCAATAGCATCCTCAACACAAAGTATAGTTTATTTGTCCCAGAGAGGAAATTAGAAAAGTTCATTAAAAAAATTGAAACAATATGTAAACAGATTAAATTAATGAAGAAGAAGAACAGATAAGAAGGAAAATGGATATAGAAGGAGGAAAAGGGTACCTGCATCATCTTGTCCGAGTTGGGGAGGGTGGGTGAACTCGTTCGAGTTGGGTCTCTGAAATAGTTGGGGTTCATCTCATCTTGAATAGAATTGGAATGGTGGGTGAGACACGAAGGAATGAATAAGAAGGAGAGATGGCGGTGTTGGGGAACAAAAAAGGGAATACAGTTGTCTGCGCTTTTACACGTGTCGTGGGCCCAGCCCACCGCCACGTCACGGTCGGGCTTCATTAGCAAGCCCGCGGTAGATATTTTCATCACGGCATCAAAAATATCTGTTATCCTCTTTCCTCATATTGTTTATCTTATAATTATTATTTAAGTGGTAAGGCCAGCATTGCACTTAAAAATATCCCAGGTCCTTACCTTTCTATTCTTGTTCTACTATTTTTTTTTTTCCCTTTTCTGGTCTGCTCTAGATTTTTTCTTTCTGCACTTTTACTTTTAGGCACTTGTTTCGTATGCGGTTGAGTCAAATTTAAATATCTTACGAATAGGATTTTTTTTAATGATCAAATTATATTTGTTTTAAAATAAACAATTAGTAATTTGTTTATTTTTTTTATTTGATGAAAATATATATTATGTATTAACAATTAAGGGTGGTGGTTTTTATTTGCTCGTTTTAAAATAAATTTTTTTATATTTTTCCAATATAAAATAAACAGAAAATTCTAATCAGCCTTGATTTAGAAATAAAAAGAGAAAATTTACTACCCTTGAAGAGGAGAGTGGGTGATTTTTTTTTTTTACGGCTTCCACTTAGATGAAGTTACTATTCTAAGACTGTTTAAGTTCAACAAGTTTCGATCTTGTGTGGTCCAAAGGTTAGAGTACAAATTAAGTTTTTCAAAATGCGTTTACGTGTTTATTTTATGCACAGATTAACCTGATCAATTTTAATTTTCAGATATTTGGGAATGAAATCAGATTTCGTGATTATTTATATTTAAATTGAGATAATAGAATTACTTAAGTCATACCATTTAAATCCCCAGTGGCATTTACTCACAAGTCACGACAAGCATGAAATCCGTTTGCTGGATTAAAATCAACGGCTAGGAGAGAGCCATTTGACGCATCGTATTCCTTACAGGCAACTGAAGCACAAAATAAATAAATAAACAAATAAAATGAGAGAAAAACACCTAGCAAAGCTCATGAGAAACATAAAATGGGTCCATAGATGATGGAACGTATGAGGAATCGTGCTATAGTATCCATTCTATCCAGAAACCCTTATGCTCTTTCCCTTTGGTTTAAGCCTTTGGTTGGATTTGTTTGAAGATATATATGATTATATTTTCAGAAATGTCATTCTCATGAATACGAAATGACTTTTTTTTTTTTTGTAAATTTTTAAAAATGTGTATAATTTTTCAACTAAAAATGAATATAATGAGAATACTTTTTAAAGAAAGTCCAAATGATATAAAGAAATTGAGAATGGAATGAAAGTTAATAATTTAATTTTATGACAATGTTCAATATATATATAACACTTTCTTAAACAATAACAATGTCTAAAAATTAATTTTAAAACCTATAACTGAGAATTTCGTATTCTTAAATCACTTTTTTAAGAATTATTTTACGAAACTCAATTCAAACACACTTTCTTAAGCCAGTATTGTTACATTATAGAATATCTATTTATTTATTTAACTGTTATTATTATTACTACATTTAAATGCTTTTCATAAGACAGAAATTAGATATAAGTAAAACAAGTATGATGACTAAAATTATCTATTAACTGCAATAAGAAAAATAAAAAGCATTTAAACCTTTTTGTTATTTTTTATATTAGAAGGTAGACTCCAGGTAGAAAAATGTAACTTCGGTGCTGGTTTTTTTCTTTTTAATGAAGCTATTCACCCATTCGCTGCAAACAGGGCTATGACATTGCATGAATTCAATTTTCTTTTTCTGAAAAATAACAATGGTCCAGTCAGATTGAAGTTTTCCCCCTAAACCGTTATTATTAGTAGGGTGTGACAAAGTATAATCGTACACACAATATTGGTTGCAAAATTTTGATCAAAATATCTGTATACAAAAATAAATGAGAGCCAAAAATTTTTCATTACTGCATAACTGATTGGATTTTAGGAGACAGAAATGGAACTGTATATGAACAGTACACGTCTAACTTCTTGTCAAGGATAGAATCATCGTTTGAGAGCGCAGAAAGCAGTAGACAGAGCCGAATGGTATTAACTCCCCCACGATCCATGACCTTACTCCACCAGTCTTGCCTGTATTGAATTATGAATATGCTTGCTAAAATTCAGTCTTCCACAATCTTCAAACCCCAAGCATAAAGAATAGAATACAAGATGCAGTAGAAGCAAAACAAGTTTTGATTCAAGTTTCTGGCTTCTGCTCAGTTTCTGATATGACAGTATCTTGCAAATCAATCCGACCTGCATAACCACAGTGTGTTAATACACCAGTTGTAAAATAGCAGAGTTGAAATTTGTTTACCCCATTCTAGCCATCAACCAATTCATTGGTCTCACTGTAAGAAGCCGAGTTACACAAAATAAGTGTTCTTGCGGCAATTTTTATTTGTAAATTTTGCAACATGTAAATTATTTACTCCATCCAAAGGAGCATCTGAAGAAAGATTGCATACGTGCAAGCCTCAAGTATATGTAGTAAATATGAATGATCATACCTAACAAGGAAATCAAGGAAGGGGCTTTCGATGATCCATTGACTCTGATATCTGCATTTGCAAAATTAGTATATAAGAAGGTTATGATTCTGAAGTACTAAAGCATTTTTTTAACAAACAAGCCATTCCAGTGGAAACACACTAACTCACACACTCGCAATCTTGGAGAAAGGCTCACACCCAAAATCTAATAAATGAAAGTAAGATCCACGGTTTTTCTTAGAATTAAAGCTGGGAGTCTAAAGTGTCAGAGCACTTTTAAGTCAGAAGTATTTGTCGCATTCTGGGTCTTCCAGAGGCATAGTTTTTCATTTCTTGAGTAGCTTCTTTAGGCATGCCTACAAATGGAGGATCATCATTCTATTTCATCGCTCCCACTAGCTCTCATTCTATTTCTTTGCCTGAACCAATTTCACTGCCAATGCATTTTCTCAGATTTTATGAGGTCTAGTTAAGGAATCAATAAATAGATATGAAATCCTGATACGAGTACATTAACAAAACTTGCTATTAAAACGTTTTAGTTCCTTCTAATGCCCTTAAAGATACTTGTTAGCATTTTCCTTTTAGTCGTAGGTTTTAGATGCCATCCTTTTTAAATCTTCATCTAATAGTTTACATTGCTCTGCGGCCTACACAGATGCCGCAACAATTGCCAATTTCCAAACAAATGCAATCAGCCAGTGCCACCCTCCCTCTATTATTGAGCTGAATCATAAATTGTCAGTATATAATTTCAATGAACGTTTTTTGCATTAACTATACCAGCTTTCTTGCTTCATATTAATTTAAATTCAGGAAATCACCCAATGGACAAGCATAAATCCAAAATTATGTGTTATGCCACACAGGTATGAAACACCAGAAGTTGCATACCTGAACTATCAAGCGATTTAAGGATGTCTGATTTCTTAAAAGTATATCCTATGAAGTTGGTGTCTTTGGAAGTCAACATCTGCAAGAGTGTGAAAAAAAATATTATAACTATATATGCAAGTTTAAATAATTAGTAAACTAATTATCAACGAAACCAGAAAGTTCAAAAGACAAGACAGTCATGTATCTAAAAGACCCATTGAAGCAGAGTTAAAGTGGAATAAACTTGACAATAAACTTTAAAGTGTCATTAACACAGAAGTGGAGGACAAACTGCTCCACTTGAGATGTAAAATATAATGTACCTTTATCAAAGTAACATTGAAATGAATATTAGCCTCTAAACCTAAAAATGTGGTGCACCAACCTAGGAATCAGTAAATATAGCAGGAGGCAGACAAAAAAAAAAAAAAAAAAAATTAGCAATAGTTAAAGATATGGTATAACCAAAAGGAAGCTTTTTTCTTAATGTTTAGCACTTTGCCCACAAACCCACATATAAATGAATGCCATGAACAAGATCAGCTTGCAAACTCTTAGATCATGATAAATTACAAGCTTAAAAAAACAACTCACCTTCCGCCAAGGTCCAACAGTTGCCGTTATGGATGGTGGACCGTCTACCTGCCAATGATTGAAATCTTTCAGTTTATATGTGCTCAGGAATTATGAAAAACAGAAGACATAATCACGTACAGTGCTCAAAGCTATAAAATAAAAATAAAAATTACAGTTTTGGAAAATATTCTGTCATTGACACATTGTCAATAAATGATAACAAAATTGAAAGGCAAGGGCCAAATAACAATCATGGACAAACCCAAATTGAAAACAAAAAGGTTGGGGAAACAATTCTCAATAAAAGAAATAAACATTAAAAAATTATGGCCAGCTGTTATTTTGTCACTTGGAAACCTTACCAATTCTCACAACACCATTGTAAAGAATTCGTTTTCAACTGCCACTGCCACCAATTTATATTAATATTAAATTATTTATAGACACAGAGATGCTCAAGTCATTATGCTAGTTCCGTATAAAACCATTTATAAGCCTCCACCTAACAACTTGAACTTTTAGGAAAGTTGATCCTTGACAGAGTATCAGACTTTCTACAATCCAATAGTTAGGAGTTTGATTCTTGTTCCCCCAATCCCTTTCTAAATAAAATGTTAAATTTCATATTGGGCACATGGTAGAGTGGGCCTATGTATTGTCCATGCAAGAGCCCTTATGCTGATCATATAAACAGTAGCCGGAAGAATGATTTTGCTATAATGAAGATGGGGATAGAAATTGAGAGAGCACATACAACCAAACCATGATATTATCTTGCATATGAATAATGATATTTCATTTACATTCTTCAAATGTTCGTAATCAGATGATTTTAGAGCTTGTGTGAAATTATTGCATACAGATAATCTCACTCATTTCAAATTCATAAGCTTTTGTGTAATATCTACTTACTTCAGGAAACTTTTCAAAGTTTTGAGTGTCCAAGTCTCCAGTGACTGTAGGTTTATATGCAGCTTCCAATTCATAA